GTGTGTGTGTGTGTGTGTGTGTGTGTGTGTGTGTGTGTGTGTGTGTGTGTGTGTGTGTGTGTGTGTGTGCGTGCGCGTATGCGTGCGTGTGCGTGTTCTTGAGCGTATACACGTGTATGCGTGCATGAGCGTATGCGTGTTCTTGATGGTGTATATGTGTGTACGTGCATGTGCATGTACGTTTATGCGCGCTTGTATTTGCGTGCGTGCGTGTGCGCGTGATGCCTATAGCTCCTATATTGTAGCTACATACAACATCACGGTATTGTCGCGCGGTATATAGACGAGGAACCATGCATTCGCCTGACTACATAATAACAGGAGTGAATAATAATAGATTATTATAGATAATAATAAATAATAATAGATAATATTACATATGTTATTATTCACTCTTGATAATAATGTGCTTATTTTTTTGCTTTATCATTATATATATATATATATGTAACAAACGCCGTGCGTGAGCGATAACAACACAATATTGATGACACACGAGGATGTTAGACAAGGTCACAAGGGACATAAATGTCTAAACGCTGGCGTATAAATCATAAATTCTTAACGTACATCGCTAAATTTGCAGCTCAATTACACGTAATACGCTCGGAACTGACGCGGGGTAGTGGCATGCAGTGGATCTGAGTCCCGCAGAGACGGTCCAGGTCTCTGCTTCACGCATGTTTATAAATTACTAGTGGGGGGATCCGGCGTTGCCGGGTATGCTTTTGCTACCAAAATATGTTTATGTTACAGGAAAAAGTAGAGAAAAATGTTACTTTAATAATGCAGACGTAGAGCAATGACGTAACAATACAATTAGCATAGTGTGGTAGCATTTCCAATAATCTTACACGCGCATAAATAGAACAAAGGAGCGCGTGAGGGAGTTTTTAGACCCAACTTGTAAATTCTCGTGACGTTAGGACCATCCTGTGCACCCTGAGGATGAGCACCTTGAGCCATGTTAATTGGCGCTTGTATTTTTTAGGTCTTACGCTAGCAATGTGATATACACTAACATGCCATTTATTTTCTCAGGCGCCAAAGAACGCTCACATTAACGTTACGTTGGACGAGCTGAGTACAGCGTGGTACGGACACGCCAACCTGCCCTGTCCCGACTACATGGAATTCCGCTATGTCAGCAATCTGGCAGAGACAGGGCCAAGGTAACGCCATCAACACTGTTCGTCTGCTCTTCTTACTGATATATATGATATATTGGTATTATGCAGTATTGATATTTTTATATGGGCACGATATTATATATATATATATTTATTTATTTATTTAATTGTTTCCTTCATTAATTTTCGCCATTCATTGGTTACTCCCCCCTCATTAATTGTTCATCATGGTATTAATTGTTCCTCACATTAATTGTTCCTCACATTAATTGTTCCCCTCCATTAATTGTTCCACTTCATTGATTGTTTCTCACATCAATTGTTCCCCTCCATTAATTGTTCCACTTCATTGATTGCTCCCCTTCAATAATTACTCCCCCCCCCCGACAGCGGCAGATTGTGGCGCATGAGATCGGACACGCCCTTGGCTTCTGGCACGAGCAGGCGCGCGAGGACCGCAACGACTCCGTTCAGATTCTCTGGCAGAACATCCAGCCTGGCAAGTGGTACAACTTCCTCACACATGACACGCTGACGGCCGGCATTCCGTACGACGTGTCGTCGCTAATGCACTACCTCGGCACGGTAAGCGCACGCGCTAGCCGACGTCACTGAGTAGCGACGTCACTAGCCGACGTCATTGAGTAACGACGTCACTAGCTGACGTCACTGAGTAGCGACGTCACGCACTAAGTAACGACATCACTAGCTGACGTAACTGAGTAACGGCTTACGAGCCACTACGTAACGGCATCGGTACATAACGATACATAACGACCATAATCATAAACATAAGCACAATCGCTACACAACGATGTCGGTACTGTACGTATATCTATGTGCAAAATAAAGGCACGACAAATATTGGCTCACCTGCAAAAGATACGTGCATACTCACGGTTCATACATATCGCACCTGCGGCCTGTATACGTATACAAAGCTGTCGCGGGACGATGCGACCGTGCGTGTTCAGGTCTATACAGGTGTGAACAAGTGTATTAACGCTATATAATAACGCTATATATATATATATATAACGCTATATATATAACGCTATATAATAACAGTTCTCGCCTGGGGCAAATATTGATAATAAACCTAAACAAATTCGGCTCGTCCTATTCGGCCACACTTTTGTAGCACATAGATGGTTGATTTAATGACTGGCGAAACCGAGTTATAAATTACTAATTAATTAAACCGCGAATTAATTAGTTAAGGCAAAAAATAAAAAATTTAATGATATAATAAGTAATGACGAATATAATAATAATTGTAATATATATTTAATAATTGAAATGATTAAGAAAAACGTATTCAATATCTAAATTCATTAATAATAAATTAGGAATAATAATAATAACGCCTATCTGTTTCTTATTCGGCAGGATTTCACGAAATCCTACCCGGACCTGCTGACGCTTCGGTCGCGTAAAGACGTGCTGCAGCAGGTGATGGGAGGCGCCGACAAACTGTCCTTCTACGATACGAAGCTCGCCAACCTAGAGTACTGCAGCGGTGAGTTCAGAGTTGCTCTCTCCTGTAGGGTAGCAGTGGGGATGGCTGTCTATCTGTAGACGTGTGGCATGGATGTAGAGCCTTGATACTATATAGGTGTCGATTGTACAATCAATAATTTTGTAAGAAAGTGGGAGGCGAGGAGGGAGGAAGGGTGGGAGAGCACGGGAGAGAAAGAGAGAAAGATAAAGAAAAGCGAGAAAGAGGTAGAGAGAGAAGGAAATGGGGCGACAGAGACACGGGGCGTTAGAGAGAGGACGAGAAAAAGAAGGATAGAGCGACACACACAGAGGTAAAAATCAGAGAAAACGAGAGAGAGAGAGAAAGAGAGAGAGAGAGGGGGGGGGGAGAGAACGAATGAGCGAGAAAGCGAGTGGTTAGAAGTCGGGACAGATCTGGACGCCTACAACGTTACTCTTCCATCTCGCAGAGACGTGTCAGGATCCGCTGCCATCGCGTTGCTATAACGACGGCTACCAGGATCCAAACAACTGCGACAGGTGCAAGTGCCCGGATGGCTTCGCCGGTACATACTGTGACCGAGCCGCATTCAGCATTGGCGCAGGTGAGCGCGCCCTCTATGTGGTTATATCGGAAACTAATTCTTTTGCATCCTTTTTAGGTTTGTACGCACACACACACACACACACACACACACACACACACACACACACACTGGTCTTTTTTGGCGCACGCCGCACGGGCAACGCACAGCCCCGACTCCAATGCGCGTATATAGCTTCTCTCGCTCTTCATTCGCCCGTCATGTAATCCGCTTGCTCAAGTCTATTATATTCATTATAGGCGTCAGGCTGTGTTTTTTTCGGCTGCTGTCGAGACTCGCTCTTCACACTGAGACTGTGATGACATGACATGATTAGCATCGATGCTGTTGCTGATGTTGTTGTTAGTTGTGTATTGTTGCTGTTTGCTGTGTGGTGTTGTTGTTTGTTGTTGGTGTTGCTGCTGCTGCTGCTGTTTTTGTTTTTGCTGTCGTTGTTGTTGCATCTGCTGTTGATGTTGCGGTCGCTGATGCAATGATTATTGTTTATTGTGTGTTGTTACTTCGTTGCTCGATTGCTGCTCGCCTGTCTGCCTGCTGCTGATTCGGTTGTTTGTTGTTGTTGTTGTTGTTGTTGTTTGGGCTTATCAGACTCCATGTGTCGTGCGTATTTGATGACAACTGCGGTGGTGACTATGAGGTGGAGTGTGGAGACGAGGGAGTGGTGCGTTCCCCACGTATCCAGGCGCGCTCTGCCACTACAGCAGTGCAGCTGGTTAGTCAAGGTAAGTTACCGTAGAGAGTTAGTCAGGGTTAGTTATCATGGAGAGTTAGTCAAGGTAAGCTATTGTAGAGAGTTAGTCTCTGTTAGTTATCACAGAGAGTTAGTCAATGTAAGAGTTACCTGTTAGAAATGTTAGTTAGGCTGAAAGGGATGCGTTTGTCGTATTCAGGTACTTGACCAGATAAGTGGTTACCCGAGGTACGTATATGTAGTATCACAAGTGTACAGACCTTGTATCTTGCTGCAGCATATATTGTACCCTGTGTTATCATATAAACGTACTTGCGCCCTGAATGAGATCGAATTGAAGCCGGTCAATGGAGAGGAGGAGGGGCAGGAGGAGGAGTGAGGGGGCGAGGAGAGTGAGGGAGGTGGGTGGAGGAGAAGAGCGGAGATAGTAATGGAGTAGGGGAGAAAGGAGGAGGAGGAGGAGGAGGAGGGGGAGGAATAGAAGGAGGAGCCGGAGAATGTGATGGAGATCGAATGAGAAGGTCATGAGGAGGAGTAGGGCAGGAGGAGGAGGAGGACGAGGAAGACAGGAGGAGGAGGAGGAGGGAGGAGGAGGAGGAGGAGAGCGTGAGAACGGTGATAGAGACGCGGAATGAAGTCCATGGAGACGGAGTAGGTGCAGGAGGAGGAGGAGGATGAAGAGGAAGGAGGGGAGAACGTGATGGAGTGAGGGGGAGGAGGAAGGCGGAGGAGGGGAAGAAGAGGAGGAGAGGGGGAAGGTGATGAAGAAGGGGGAGGGGGGGAGGAGGTGAGGGGAGGGAGGGGGAGAAGGAGGAGCAGAGAAGGTGATGAGGATCGGAATGAAGACGGTCCATCTGTGAGAGAAGAGTAGGGGGCAGGAAGGAGGAGGAGAACTAGTAAGGAGGAGGGAGTAAAGGTGATGACGTGTTAGGGGGAGGTAGGAGTAGGGTAGGG